CGGTAAAAGTGAATTCTTCAATTTATGAAATTCTTTGCAAAACACACTCCACACGCAAATGTAGAACTTATTCAGTTTATTCTTGTCCTCAACTTAGAAAAAATAATGGAAGTCTTATTACAAAAGCGTATTGGCACACATTATTAATTGATTGCATGTAAAGAATAAACTTTTTCTGGTCTACAAGTAAAAACATGTGTGTGTGTGTGTGTGTGTGTGTGTGTGTGTGTTAGATCCTTACTGATCACGTGAACAACACTTCGACTGCCTGCTGCATAAAATTTCTCAGTGTCCACATCAGCGCCTCCCAGCGAGCGCAAGGTTTGTTCAGCACCAGATCGAACATTTCCAGCAACAAAGCGCCAAGGTCGCCAAAATCCATACGGCGCCGAACTAATAAATGAACGCAGTGATCCACATCGTCCAGCGATAACGCAGCACCGCGCACTCGGCCTCGACTGAATACTGAGAGGAAACATTTGGAATTCCAGACGCGCGCTCCGCAAAGCCGCGCCCTCTCTGCGCAGGGATTAGCTTTCAAGTTCTTCCTCAGCGCTCCCCAGTTGCTTATTGTCTCAAAGCCTCCCACACAATGCTGCTGATTCCTCTTTCAGAGCTTCTTGCCGGAGGTTTACTCTAGGAGATATTATAGTCACGTCAGTTTTGAATTTACAATTGAACCGTCCAAAGCAGAAAGGGTGCATGTTCACATTTTGGCTGTTTTAATGTTAGGGTTGGTTTCCTTTTCTTTTAACTTTATATTTCACTGTGCAAAAAGTTTTTCTGTAGTATATTACGTTCAGATATTGGAAATGTATATGCAAAAGCCGATTACAAAATAAAATAATAATAATAATAATAAATAGTTATAATAATAGTAATAATATTGATAATAATAATAAGTCATGCTGCAAATCGTTTTTTCTATCCCCAGTAACGTTGTGAAAATGACGTAAGATTTTCTATATTGGACGGTTCAATTATGTGGTCTAAGAATTTTCTCTTTCATTTGCAGGCTTCTTAAGATCTCAAAAACTCACTACTTTGAAGATGTTGGAAATAATAAGTCAGGGTTTCCCACCTTTTTAACACCAATTTTTTCGAATCAAGTCTATTTTTACTCATAGTTATATTCCCTGTATAACTCAAAAGATACAAAATATGTTGATAACGTTTATATGAATTTCTTTAGGGAAAGACAGTACGGTTAAACATTTATTGTGTATCGGTTTTCTGTAAACTCTGGTGGAGAAATTTGAACTAGTGGAAATGTGCGGCATACCGAAAATATTCCTCGTGTTATGTCGACAACAGCCCTTGATATCATATTTTGTCAAAGGCTTGTATGGCATCTAGAAATACCGCTGAGCAATATATATTTTTAAAGTCTTCATTGATCACGTTTCTGAACTTATTCAATTGTTGAATGTTATTGTCGGAATCCAAATGGATGGTCTCAAATCAAGTCATTTTCTTTTAATGTTGGCAGTATTCGTTTTAGAATGAGGTTATAAAGCACTTTCGATAGATTTGGTAACATGCTGATGGGTCGGTAGGTAATGGAATGAGGATCTTTCCCGGGTTGGAGAAAACCTATAATTTGGCCATTTTTCCAATGCGGAGGGAAGTGGGACATTCATAGTATTCGGTTAAATTTTGATAAAAAAACCACGATAAAAATTATTGTGCAAGATTTAACCATATATTAGTAAAAGAACGTGTTTTAATTAACTTGTCTCGGTTTTCTCGCAATTTAGCACTGTTTTTAGCGAAAAAAAAACGTGATATTTGCCTCCACCACGTATATTATGGGAGATTCGCCTTGCCCCCTTTTGCCCCTAAAGGTCTCACGTAATTTATGGATGGCCCCTTAGAGGTTTGTATACAGACGGATGAACAGACGTTTTGATTAGAATAGTTTTTTCGGGATCAAGGGCGCACTAAACATGCGATTCTAACTACACAACGTGTTGGAGGAAGTAATTATATAGGACTATAATTATTAACATATAGGAACGAGATTTACCCACTTTTTCATAACCAGGGACAGGCAAAGGCAATAAGAGGTTTTCGGAAAATCCCCTTTTTCCGGTGCAATGAGACGGAAAGGTAAAATCTCTAATAATGAAGTTGTGGCAGAAGATACTGTTTTTAAACTTTTACTATTTTCGGAAATTCAAAGGTTGCTATTGAAATATGTAGTGCTGTACCAATTTAATTGGCGAATATTGCTCCATTAAAACCAACCACTATAAAAACATGTTTCAGTGACGCCATTTCTGATACATTTTTGAAAATGTCCAAAAAGCTTTATTTACATTATCCACAAAAAATAAAAATATTCGACTCAAATTTTCTGGTCCTCGACTATGATCACGGCGTTCGGGAAATATCCAATTTAGAGAAAATTTTGAGAACAGTGAAGTTCTAGTGTTGTCTAAAGACGAACAGGCTTGCGGTCGGGCGGACAGCGGACGGACAGACGAAAGGGTGGACGGTCAGGCAGACTGGCGGTCGGACGCCAGATAGGCGGAGAGACGGACAGATACACAGACGTTTTCGAGAAAAAAATCGGTAGTAGGAACTCCCTAAAAATATTTTTTTTACGATCGTATAAAAATGTGAATTTTTCTGTTTTGCTACCTGTGCGTAAAGTTTGTGTCTTTTAAACTTCTGAAAAAATGTGACGTCACATTTTTCAGGATCAGTAACATTAAGCCACAATAAGAAACAATATTTTACGCACGGTAGGGTTACTATAGAAATAAAATAAAACGTACATCGATGGCAAACAAATTTAATTTTATTATCTTTCTAATAATTATTTACAAAATTATGAGGTATCTATTAACATTAAATTAGTTCGTAACTGTAACAAATAATAATATGAAAATTTATGTTTACTTGTGTTCTGCATCAGCAAAAATCCTGCTTCACAAAATCATACAAAATGTTCTTCAAAAGTAGCACACACACTGCTCAAGAACAACAAATATTCGTACACACTCAGGATAACACGCTCGTGCGACTGTAACACCGCAATGCAAAATGTGTGGATGTGACTGCGTGTTCTAGATTAGTGACGGGTTGTGCTTTGTATTAATTTAGAAGAAGAAAGCCTCGTAACTTGTAAATAGTCCAAATTAAGTTTGTTATATCTGTGGAGAATTAACTACGAAATCGCAAAAACTGAACCTTAACGCTCTGATAAGGAAGTGTTACGAACTTTATTTCGGGTGCAAGGTAGGCGACCAAGACCTGAAATTGGACCCCATTTATACTTTGAGTCATGTGTTGTACTCCTGGTATGCCGGTTAAAAGGTACACGACACATGTCCTTCGCCGTTCCCATGTTTTGCAGAGAACCAACGGATCACATTTGTTATTTCTGTCTGACAGAAATAGCTGGAATCACTTCAAAAACGAAGAAAACTTTGAAATATCCTAATTCTCTCCCAACTACAAGGCCTGTATGTCATAGTGAAGAATTGCCGGTGTTGCTGCCTGCTGAGAATGTGACAGTGAGTGAAGATGAATGCTACAGTGACGGACATTTAGAGACATTTAGAGACATTTAGAGACATTTAGAGACATTTAGAGACATTTAGAGACATGCAGAGACATGCAGAGACATGCAGAGACCGAGAGACGGAGATATCCTTGCCGACTCAACATTTCAAGCCTCTTATGACTCAAATGAACCGCATTTTTTGTCTTAAGGGAGTCTCAATGATATTGTTCTTGATTGAAGTTCGACGAAGCAAGTGTCTGCGCTTTTAGCTGCACAACTAAAATAATGAATATTCTTTTCCCCTGTACAAAATTGCGTTTTTTCATGATTGCCAACTAGTTTCTTTCAAAATATTTCTCCAAGAAATATCTCCAAGACATATTGTTTTTAATGAAATCGAGTCCATTAAGAGCTCCACCAGGGCATTCCTCAAATGGGAATGCGTTACCAAGCCAACTTGAGTGGCGCAATGTTGTCCGATAACTGATAGATCTCGTAAAGATGCAAAGGTGTGATGAGGCAAACTATCGCAAGAAATCGGAAGGAAATATTTTTAGGTACGTTTCGTCACTTTTATTAATACTTACGTTGCTGTAGTTAATGTATACTTTGAATCTGTTGTTAATATAATGTTATTAGAACGTGATATTTTGTCACATTATATAATACATAAGGGATATACACATTTGCAATAAATGATCAGAACATGAAAACTGAGGCCGATACAGAAATAATGAAATTAGATCTGGATTGAGAGGCAAATTATCTTCCAGAAACAATGTGTTTTTTTCTTGTTACAGAAGAAATGATTTATTTTGTAGACCAGTTTAATTAAATTTGGCTTGATGGCTACGATATTTCTTTATTTTTCGTTCCACTCCCAAATTAGATGCTCATGTCTAGTGTAAGTACTAGTGATGTTATCAGACGGACATATTGGCATACGGGCATATAGACATACACACAGGTTGACAGACTTTCGGGCAGACGGGCGGACGTGCGGACAAATAATTATTTGCGAAGTACGGATGTGCGAAGCATGAACATACAAAAGGACGACCCGCGACTGAATGGTGGAACGGAAAATCGGTCTGAAGGACAGATGGGCAAACGGAATAACGGACTGACAAACTGACGGATTGACGGACTGATAGGCTGAGTGACAGACGGACTGAATGACGGACTGCTGTACTCAAAGACGCATTGAAGAAACCCTTTCTTTTGGTAAAAGGGACCCCCAACATATGTATTTGCTTTAATAGGTCGACATGGGTTTTTTCAACTTATGTAATTTCCTCTGCACTACGTGAACGAGGAACTAAAAAAGTATTTTTCGTTACCTGAGACACTCAAAATGTTAGTTTCTGTCAAAACCTCGATATCAATTTTTTACGATGTTCCGTAACTTTTCTTTTCCGGATCACGTTTTAGAGAAAATGAAAGTGACGGCTGCATTAGAAGTACTATGAGTAGCTTTTACATTATAATACTTCACTGGTAAAGAAAACGAAGAGGATAACAGTAAAATTATATATTTTCATCGAATACATATTGTTTATACATAATAGAAAACATGCTATATGTCTTAATCCTCAGCCTTTGCCTTTAATTCAAAATCAACTCGAATTGATCCACAATACGCTTCGCCAAGTTCATCACATTTATGAGTTATATGTATATAATATTTCCCCAAGGGAAACCCTACTGGAAACAGTCGTGGATAAAGCTCGCAGCCCGCGAGCTCCATACCGTTCTGTAAAAAGAAAGTCGTTCAGAAAAGTAAAATTAGTAACGATACTTATATTCAATAAAGTCCATTAAATTTAGTTAAAAGCAGAATTCTCCAAAATTCTTCAGAGCATTCAGAAGTTTAGAAAAGTATCAACTAGTTTGTTTTTCATAACCTAATATATAAAATGCAATAATTCATGGAGAAGATGTCCTATTAAAAACGCCAATTACTACAATTATATATTTACAATCTACTAACTTACATGATATATTAAATGAAGTACAACATGATATAATAAATGAAGTGAAGCATTATACATTAAATGAAGTACGGGATGAGAAAGGTACTTGTAATAAAATATTAAAGTTACAGTTAATACGTGGAACAATAAAACAAATCAAAACTCGCATTACTTGTAACTTTTACAAATTTCGTAAATCAAAAATTTTCAGCGAAAATTCGTCTTGCGTCATTTTTATATCCGTACCTTGATATTTTGAAAAAAAAATAAAATGTAATGTTTGAAGCCGTATTTCAAAAAGTACTTTTAATTGCTTTACCTTCAAGCAAAAATGACTTATGTTTTCAAAAATTGTTTGTGACCTTATTTAAAAATGTACTTGTTTGTAACATATTTTATTAAATAAAGTAGCAGTACCACAACAACACACTATCCATATAGCTATTCTTTCTCGCATTATTTGTTAACGCCCTAACGTTCTAAACCCGACCTCCGGCATTTTCGTAAGCTCACACTTTCGCACAAACAAATTTAAAGAAAAAATATGGTGCCTTTTTGAGAAAATCTTATTTTTCAAATTGACTATTTCAAGCACAATTAGGCAAAACTACGGGAACATGGTACAAGGAATGGTAAACGAAAAAATAAAAAATAATATCTTTTCTTGTCTAAGAAACTGAGACCCCAGGTTAGTAACTCATACGCTTTTAATATAGAAAACAGAAATAAAATTCCCAAGGAATGAAAGATTACGCAATTGAAGATAACAAGTAAGGCTGCAAGGGCAACAAATGGTTTCAGACTGATGGAGTACAGCTGTGGCTAAACTTGTAAATACAATAAATGACACACATTCAATGAAGCTAACTTGATCATTTTAGCCAATAATAGAAATTTCAAGACTGAGAAAGAGATATTTCTGTGAGATAATTAAAAGTTATTCTTAATTTCCACAGTGAAAAAAAAACATTGTCAACTAGAGGTATGATCGCACTAGTTTGTTAGCTTAGTTTTGACATAAGTACTTTTAAATTGATAACAAACTATTTTGATAACAGTTCCTGTCGTAATTATCATAAATTAATATAATATATATAATTCAATTCTCCGTTACCTGAGGTTTTTCCATCGGAAGATCTATCTTCGGATTCAGGAAGCAGTTCACACACATAACCACATTTGGGAATTTTTCCAGCAAACCTTGCAAAGAATCAAATCCGGCAGCTACGGTTTGATACGTGTCTCCGGATTTATATTCCATTTTAAAGCTTACCTAACGGAAAACGAATGTACGAACGCATGTTAAATGTGTTGCACGTGAATTTAAGGAATTGTCTTGTATAATGCGAGCTGTAGATGTATTTATACTTACAGGTATTTCAGCCGACAAGTTACCTGCGGGCATTAAAACCCCATTATACGCTCCTTTCTCCACGACGATATCACTTTCTTCATAAAATCCATCTCCGGTGAAAGATGTCAAGAATACCCAGAACTGAAATTGGGATTATTATTATTATTATTATTATTATTATTATTATTATTATTATTATTATTACAAATATTTAGACTGTTTAAAAAAATGGCTGCCCTAGCGAGTTATAACAATGCATGAATGTTAAATGTATTTGTTATTATTATTGTTATTAATATTACTATTATTATTATTATTATCGTTATGTCTGGATGGAAAATCAACCTTACACTTTTGCACTCAACTTTACTCTTGCATTTTTGACTTTTCCATCAAGGTTCAATTAGCTCCTACTATTGGCACCAATAAATCGCGTTCTTCCTCTCGCTGTATAACATAAAATAAACTCGCGTTTTCAAATATCCTATCGTTCTACACTGAATAATACCTCCACACAACACAGTAATAGAATCAAAAAATATAATCATAAAAAAATTGTGGATACTAATGACAACACCGCAAAAAATTACGAATCCTGATATGAGAATTAATTATCATGATTGCCAACAAAAACGTGGTGTTTCAAACATCAACTTCATGAAGCTCTGTGTGAAGGAAGGCCCTGAAAGTCTCATTTACTTGATATCGATTTATGGAGCATTTCTCTAAAAATGTCTTTCTCGGCATCGTGAACAATTCTCCTTTTCTTCGAGACTGAACTTCCCGTCGAAAGAACAAATTCTGTCAAATCAGAGTTTCCTTTGCATGTGTAGTTGTAGTGTCTCGGTGTCACACACGGTATTTCTCCTCCTTTCTGTCTTGCCTTACGCCCCCCTTCTCCTACATACAGGTCCGTCCTCCCTCGTAAAAACATCGTTCTCCGTATCCCATCTTGCCGTTTGTCGACCCCGTCGTCCTCCTAACGAGTCCTTCATTCTCATTATGGGGCTCTCGTTCTGCTGTGTCTTATTGTCCTGGAGGTACCGCCGATCTCTTTAAGCTTCTTGCCGTTCTTCAAACCGCAATCTTTAGCATATTAATAAATTAGCAGAAAATATATTTAAGAATATTTCGATTTGAATTAGTGCACGCAATTACAAATTTGTTCTTAACATAATGTAAAATACAGCTTTATATGCAAGAATTTTATTTTAAAATGCACTATTTTGTATATCTGCAATAAACATATTATTTTTTAATATCCTTCATTGTTTTGTTTACAAAAACATTTAACTGATTTCCTCATTTTGCTTGGCAGAACAGAATATATTATACAGGATGTCCAGGGAGGAAACAACGAAACTTAGAAAATAAGCTCTAAAGTCATTGTGAAGAATATTGTGTCTAATAAACTCCTTCGATATTTTGAATGATTGAGCCGCAATAATCACTCAAGAGTTGCATTGAAAAATTCTTTCTATGCCAAGTTTGCGTTTTAGAAACATATAAACATTCCAGAAGTTTGCACATGGTTAACAATTACAACAGAAATTAATATATTTTGTAAAGAAAAATTAACGCAGAAATAAAAAAGCAATGGAATTCTGAGAATTGAGTGTTTTTTTTATTTCTGTATCAATTTTCTTTTGTGAATAAATATATTAATTTCTTATGTAAATAATAAACAATTAACATGTTTCTGGATTATTTATGTTTTTGAAATGCAACGTTTTGCATAGAAAGTCTTCTTTTTCAAACCAAATTTTGAGTGCTTATTGCGGCTCAGCCATTCGAAATCTGGAATGAGTTTATTAGTTAAAATATGCTTTAACCTGACTTAAGAGCTTATATGCGACGTTTCGTTGTTTCCTCCTTGGGCACTGTTTTTCGCTGTTTCGGGGTAACGATTCCCGCGATCCTCACTTACGTCTCGCTCGTCGGCGTCGCAAGTGACTCTCTTGCAGCGCACGTCCTCGGCGCCGGCC